AAGACCATACACAAGACCAGACACGAGACCATGCACAAGACCAGACACAAGACCAGACACAAGGCCAGACACAAGAACAGACACAAGAACAGACACAAGTCCATGCACAAGACCAGACACAAGACCAGACACAAGCCCATGCACAAGACCTAACACAAGACCAGACATTAGGCCAGACACAAGAACAGACACAAGACCATGCACAAAACCATACACATAACCAGAAACAAGTTTATTTGAATAGCTTGTGTCATGAATTCAGACTCCTGGAGGTCTTGTGATTGCGTGGTCTTGTGAAGGTCTTAAGTGGTCTCCACTACAAGACAGCTGTTGACACAATACTTGTGTTAGGCATAATGGGTATAGAATTCTGCAGTTTTAAGTTTCAGCTTACTTTAATGTTTTGCTGAGCACAAAGAACAGCTTGTGGGGTTTTCTCTCTTGTTTTGAAATAGATTCCGTCAGTCGACCCACGATCATTGCATTCTTTTTGTTGGGACTAACTTTGTTAACACAATTCAAATAAAATGTTCTGTCCGTCCTGTAAATAAAGAGACATATAAAACTTTGGTCACTCTTCACAACTTCACATGGTTTGAGTCTCAGGTGAAATGAATTTTCTTGATCTTTTTAGATTACATTAATCCACTTTTACCAACACAAAAATTTCATGAACAGAAAGAATACTACTATTTAAAGAATTATGCAACTTAAAAGTTCTTCAAGTGGAGTTGTGCAATGTCTTAACTGCTCTAACAAAGATTGTTCTTCTGTAATCTGACATTACAGCATAATACACTGTTTCTATTTTTCTTATTTACAGAGGTAAGAGACAAGAAAATTGTCACAAAACATGATCTGATCTACTCACGGTAAATTCCAAGGCAGAAGCAAGTTCTTCCCAATACCTAACTTCTCATCTGCAGCGACAATCATGTTGAAGCGCACTTTACACTGACCCAACGCCATTCCTACTAGCAACTTGGCCTACGTCACAGAATTTGGTGTTGAGTGCTCACTTGAACTCCTGAACTGACTGCCAAAAAGTGGGTTTGTCATGTGAAGAATCTACATTATAATTCCTGGACCAATCCATGTTTCACTTAGCTACATTTGATACCATGGAAGAGAATTCAATTCTGTTCTGTGTCAGCATAAATTACTTAGCTGATGCACAGCAAACCACGTCCTTGACACGCCCATCCAATGCTTGCCATCAAATTCAAAGTTTGGTGATGCCAAAGTGAATTTTACATTATTAACCACTTCTTTTGGAAGTTACTTAAATTAAGTTATAGGCATAGTGGATGTTCTAAACGAGGAAAGGTAACAATGAACATGATGAACATAATTGCTTCATGATTGAGGGGCATGTACATGTAAGAGAATGGAAATGATGTTGGCATGGGCAAATCACCTGACACACAATGGCACTTTATTCAAAAGCTGAGCTGGCCAAACAATAGCACTATAAACATGATAAACGTATAGTTGGGACTGTCATAGTTGGGACATAACAAAACCATGGGGGAATACAATATACGATGAAACGATAGATACATCATTAGTGCCTACTCACGTTACATCCTAGATACTGTAGTCTGTACTGCTGCAGTGTAATGTCATTACTGCATGAAGGAACTCAATGCTGCACGCACTGGTAATTCCCTGCAAAGGTATAAACTCATCAGTCATTGGAAAGCAGGGGCAGATCCAGGATTTTTTCCGCGGGGTAGGGTCAGGCCGGAGATTTTTTCAATGCTTTATTTTTGCGGGCAAGCAGAAATAATGAAACATTATACAGGATTTACATTGTTTACAGTGGTACTGCTGTATACAGAGCCCCTAAAGCCTGAAGGGACATCCCAATTTTTTTATGTTGTGTGAATGACATACGTCATTATGGGCACAAGATAGTAAGTCACACGACATAAAAAACAAAATTGGGATGTCCCTTTAGGGGCTCCGTAGGCTGAGCTTACTTCAGTTATTTTTATTATTTTCCCCTTTTTCAAATTTTTTTTTTGTCTCAGTGAAAATATGCCCTAAATAGTCAAATTGTTTGGGAACATTTGGTTGCATTTACTTGGAAAACACTTATTCTAAGTGAATACCTCAATATTTTCCATGCTAAATTTGACTTTAGTTAAGGTCACATTGTCTTGCATGTTACTGTGACTGTTTCAGATGGCTTACGGTACATGCTGTAGGGAAAAGTTAATGGTGTCCAAAGATGGAATTCTTTCTGAAAGGTAATGGAGGGGGGGGGAGCTGCAGACATTTTGGGTGAACTTTTGGGGCCAGTTTGTTTCACGTGGATCGGGATCAGCATGATCAGTCGTTGATTCAGCTGCAGCTGACACCAAAACTTGCCTAAATAGATGGAGCAAACAATGGGATCACTGATTGAGATCTAGCCCCACTAGTGTGGCACGGACTCTCACTCCCGATCCATCCTCCTGATCCATCCTTAAGGACTAGTGGGGCTAATTGAGATCCAGATCCGTGTGAAACAAACTACTATATATAGTACAAGTACAAGTACTAACTAACATGCAAGCCTTATCGAAATTACTGCATGGGTGATTTTGCACAATGGTAGAACTTAGAAGGCACTGTGCAAAATCACCCAAGCAGTATTTGCGATGACGCTTATGTAGGCCTAAGCAGGCGTTGGGCGTTTTCAGTGCGTCTCCACTGCGGAGTAGTCAATGAAAATGATACCACCAGAACTTATCAAACTGTTGTGGGGTCGAGTCTGATGTCCGCCCCGCTCCCGCCGATCCCGATCCCACGTTCGTGGGAGCGGGACGGACGTCGGACCCCACACAGGGGTATGAACATGATGAAATGAAACGCGGCAAACCGAGCATGGATACATCCTGGAAGCGATACTTTGAAGGCCTATAACACAGTATGCTGATTTTATTGCCAGTTTTGTCAGAAAAGACTAGGCCTAACCTTCACGCCTCGTTCTTCCCCAAATTTTACGTCCCAAACAAAGATAGTCGGATACCCTCGGATATCTTCATGCTGCGAGAGTGCACGACGCCTGGGAAACTACTTGCAAAGCTGCTCCCCGATCTCTTTCAACAGAGTTCCAAAGCAAATCGTTCGCCAAAGTACGAGAGCCAGTCTAGTCCAGTGTTATCATTAAACTCGTGACTGGTCGATCTTTTTGTCAGTTTGTCGTGCTACTGCTAGACTTTCCGTACGTACGTGCGAAACATGTCATCACATCATCTGCAGTTCAGAGGTCGTTGGACGTAACAGTTGCAACTACATTTACGTAAATGTCATAAATTTGGTCTAATTATGCCCTGTGTGTCTTACATCGAAATGCCGAGGAGAAATTGAAGATGGCTGAAGCTGTAAGACCTCGCAAAAAACACCGAAAAAAGGTAAATCTGGCCTTTCATAACCTAATAGGCGGCGTTTTTGCCAGTTTATTGCTTGTCCCTGTTTCCCACAACATGGTCAAGGTGAAGTGGGTGCTCTTGTATCAAAGGCCGTACTACTAGTACTAGGCTTACCTTATGGATCCTTTGCACCCACCGCGTTCGTTAAGCCCTTGCTTGGCCTAGTGAAACGTGCGATGAACCCCATAAGGTGTGTAGGCATCAGTCATGGGACTGGGAGTGTGACTGTGTGGTCATGTCTAGATCTGGGGATTCCCCCAGTAAGTTTGGCAATGCTGTCTTGTCTGGCATGTCTGCTTTAACCATGGAGGTAGTAATATGATGGTAACTTTAACTATGGTTTAATTAATAGTAGGCCTAGGCCCTATTTCTGAGCTATATTATGCAGTCACACGTATGAAGCCAAACCACAGTTCACAACCATGCACCTTCCTCCATGCATGCACAATGCATGACATCTAGATGCTCAACCAACCATAAAAACTTCACATATGAAATGAGGCTCCTATAACATTCAGACTTTATTTTCCTTCAAAAAAAACCCTCCCTGCCCACAATTTCGACCCGGGATTCGAACCCACACCCCATGCATCACAAACCATTATGCTGTAAACGCTTGACTACCATAATTCACACAAGTTGACAGTGTTTTTACAACATGATATACCGATGAACGGCTGCAACGCAAGTCTAATATACATTGGATATGCACAATACAAACAAAACCACCTTGGTTTGGCTTCATGCGTATGGTTGCATATGTATTTCCTATTTCCTTGTCATTAGTTCAGTGCAATTTCAGCGGTATTTTTATTTAGGCCTTCAGAATGAACATCTTGGATTCCCATCCGGACAATTTTGAAAACCCATGAGGCTTTTTTCATTATTCTTTACTCGTTAGTTGGTGTACTTACTGCACATTGATAACAAGTATGTCCATGGAAAGGGAACCAACCTTGAAAGTGCATGTAGATTAGCTCTCAGTCCGTCTTGCATGCATCCTGCCATTTGTACGCGAGCACACTATGAACTGGTGATTTACTTTGCAGCCATTTTTTAACCATGTTAACCATTCCCGATGGAAAAAACAACAATTTTTCTGAAATAACAATTTTTGGAAAATAATGAAATTTTTGGCGGCTGTTTCAGCGTTATGCAGGCGGAAGATGGAAATCCAGGATTTTCATTCTCATGGCTTGAGGCAGTGGACAAGAGTGGACATTATGCTAATTACCAGTATTAGTCCCAGCACTTTTGCTTATAAATCATGTTTTATTGTGTACTGGTTTACTGGCATGTCACTTAGCCTAAGTAGATTCCCTGACCGCACTACATGAAGACTTGCATCCAACCTAGCACTGAACTGGTGCAGTTAATGTTTTGGGAGGCTTGGAAATTTTTACCCTTACAGGAAGAATCCTCATCAGGGTAAAAAAAAAGATGTAAAGAGTTCTGTACCTTGGCAGTACTTGTGAAAACCAAAAGGCACCCAGTCTGTGTTGACTTTTTAGGAAGTGCTATCTCTCTGATGGCTGCTTTATTAGGTTGACTTTTTATGATGATTATGATGTTATGAAGGAAAAATGACCACACTGACTGTACATTATTTTAACTCAAGTTGTCATGCTTTGGCAGAGCAGGTGCACTGCCTAAACTACGCGGCCACGCACACACTTACATGTACATGTACATGTAGTCAGAACAAGTGAATTTGCTAATACTATGGTATCGATTCAGTGTGGACTGTGGAAAAATAGCATGCATCCAGTTTACAGCGAAACATAAGCTTCAGAAAAAAAGAGAATGTGTATCATTCAGACATGAACCAGATGCAGTGAGTTCTCATGAGTTTGACTCTCATAATGCCAAGGTGGCAAGCTACTCCCATCTGTACTCTTCAGGCTGATGTACATGTAGGTGACATTGTTTGCACCGTGCTGGCTTTGAAAATAAAAAAAGACGGACTGATTTAGGGAACATACTTTGTTTTACTGGAGAAGCCATGCTGTTGGGGAGACGGAGAAGCGATACTGTGGGAGGGGTAGAGTGACCCCATTAATTAACCCTGACATGAATTATAAAGTGTAAACATACTCTTAACATATTTGCAGATTACAAAAATCCCACAGGTTGATCCTCTAAAACCTAGGTAAAATTTCATTGGAATACATCTAGATCTTGCCTGAAAGTTGATTGTTAATCTTGACAACTCTTCTAATGTACATGGCAGGCTGACTGATATTAGTGTGAACCCATTCAAATATTTATCCTTTTATTGTCCAACAGTTTTGTAGAGTTTTATGTTATTAGGGATGTTTTAGTAATTTAGTTGTTAGCTGCTAATAGAATTGATGTTCACATTTCTTTAAAGAACAGGCTTTTGTCATTCCAACAGGCCTGTATGATTTAATTTTACTATAGATATAACTGCTTCTCCACATGATTGACAACTAGTCAATTGTAAGAAGTATTTTGCATCAAAAATAAGGTTTGCAGTTTTGAAAAATAAATGGTTATTTCTACCTTTAATTTACTGGCTACATGTATTTTACATGCAGAAGGAAGTAACGTCATCTAAAAAGCAAGCTGAAGATAGAACAGATGAGCTACTCCAAGATGAGGATCAAGACAATCTGAAGAATAAGGAGATACCTCGTTCCATCCAAGAAGTTGCAACATTCCAAGATGGAGAGACTTTGAGAACCAGTGAAACTGATGTGGTTCAAGACAGAGATACTGGTCAAGGGGAAACCAGTATCTCAATGTCACAAGGTGTGAAGGAGGAGGCAGTTGATGTAGAGAAGGAATGCAGGAGCCAAGATGTAGAGAGCGAGGAAGGAAGGATAGATCCAAGTCTGAAAAAGGTGAATCCACCGGAATCAGAAGATGCAGCTTCGGTTGACATTGCTTCAGATGATACTGCCATCAGTAAAGCCTCTGTGGGAGAAAAATATCTTGATGTTGCAACTAATGGCCCAGAAACTCTCAGCACTGTTCCTGAGAGAGTACATTCCAAGGGCAGAACTGCCAGTAACGAAATGCCTGCGGGCCTTGAGGGAAAGCTGCAGGATGACATTAAGCCAGTGGAATTTGTGAAGCCAGAAATTCAAGAAACGGAAGTTGTAGATTCTGAGGTGGAGGCTGCCACTGGCAGCCAGGAAATTTGTGACAAGACAGGGGTAAATGTATTAAGTCAGGAGAAAGAGAATATGTCAGCTATCTCAGAGGAGGCAAAGGATGCAGAACAAGTTGTCATGTCTTCTGGGAATTCGGTTAGCAAGGACACTGAAGAGAAAGGAAAAGCAACTGAAGAAATTGAAGATTCAGTGGGCAATCAGACTCTCTCTGAGACCAGAGACGATGCCTTTGAAATTCTTGAGGATGAGAAGGTTGCTACCGTGCCAAGTGAAGCTGTTATTGAAGATGGAGCAGAAAAAGAAGCCTTGGCCAAAGGTCTGCAGGAGGAAGGTGTTGAAGCCACAGCTCCTCCTGAGCAAGAGGTACAGTCTGGGGTCCTGACACTCAGGGCTATTGAAGTTGGAGTACATAACCCATTACAGGATGCTGCCTCAGTTCAAGTACAGCCGGAGAGTCTGGAATCTGAGACTTCGGCTCCATCAGGTGCACAAACAATTGTCAAAACAGAGGCAAGTCACAGACCTGCTGAACGAATAGCCTCATCTGAGACTGAAGAGGACAGTCAGAGCTCTCTGTTAATGAGACAGGAAAGCATCAAGACGACCAAAGTAATTGCCATGAAGGAAGACCAACTGGAGATGTACTATCACAATTCCAACCTAAAACAACAAGAACAGTTTGTTGAACTTTTCATTCAGGTAAAGCAATAGAAATAGCTCCATAAACAATTGTTGGTTATTAAATTTCTACAAAATTGAACCGTTTGTTTTGATTTATAGTTACTGTTCATCTAACAGCCGGAATGAGTTTTGATGTAGGCAGATTATGTTTATATCTACAGTGACCTGAAATCTAAGAAATTGGTCCTGTCAGAGGGCCTAATATTGTGATCCTAGCATAAATGTTTTGCAAGGATCCTTTGCCTTTGAGAGAATTCCTATGTTGTATCATTTTAGATACATGTATAAATTTCTTAGTGATTATGTTGAGTGTTGTGTGACGCATTGTACTTAAGCAATAATTTTTCTTTTAAATTCATTTTAAGAAGCTTTTACAACTTCCATTTCCTACTGAATAGATGTGCTGCATTGAGAAACATGAATTCTACGAATTGGTCACAAATTACTTCAAGGCACGGAACAACATGCTGGCCATTCGAGATGATATTGAAAACATGCAGAAGGAGTATACCTCCCTCAAGGAAAAGCTTTGGACTACATCCAACAACTTCATTCTTGCCAAGGTGTGTAATACATATGAGCAGTGTTTCCATGACTTGCTGAAATATTTAAAATCAGAATCTCCTGTAGCATTTCCTGAGAACAGTACCATACACATCTGATAATCATTAAGTTGTTGTTGAAGCGATTGCAAGGTATTTCTAGCAAACTTCTAACTGCTTGTTTCCCCCAAAAAAGCTTGTGAAGATTTCTGAGAAAATGTCAAGGGATGTGTCTGTCAGGTTTAAATACTAAGAAATCTGCAGTTGGCTGGAATGACAGTGGAATTGAGCTTGGGATAACCACAGATGGTAGAAGCTTTGTGGATATGTCATGGAGGAAGTCCTCAGACTGCATTTCTCAAGACCAGTCTAATGTGTGGACAGTTACAGCTTGGAGCAGTTAAATCAATTTCAGTCAAAGATTAAGAAAATCGAAGTATTGAAAATAATTTTTTGAATAATAAACTCCTCAAGCAATGTATCATACTGCTGGTTAGAAATAACAGAAAGAACACCCATCCCACTTAATAACCTGCACTGAATCACTTGACTTAATGTTAACAATAAAAATTGTAAGGCAGTTGAACATCAAGATGATATAAAGTAGAATTTTAGTACTGAAATCCATTCGTGCTTAAATCATTCTTTGAAGCATTCGCAAATTTTCTTAAAGCCATAGATGTAAGATTTTGTGAATCTTTCAATCTGTAGGGGATTTGTGCCGACAATCAAATGGTTAAAGAGAATCATGCTTACCAGCTAGCACAGTTCAATCCCGATGTCCACTGTGACTTGGAACGACTGATGAAATACACCAGGTCCAACTTCCACGACACGTTTGCTCTGTGCTCGTACACAGCTCAGCTTTCCAAGCTGCAGATTGAATCCTACATCCATCAGTTATTTCTGCGGAATTCGTGGCTGTTGGGAGTAAAGGAAGATGCCCCAGTAGCAGGTACATGTACATAGAAGCTCCTTTGTAGTTTGGATAATCAAGTAGCAATGTTGTTGAGACTGTCACAAGACCTGACCAGAAGCAAGACCAAACACAAGACCAGCCAAGTGACAGGAAAAACCATGGCAAAGGAATACTTTTGTTGTACTTCATGAACTGAAGTTCTTGTGTTGGTCATGTGATGGTCTTGAAGGATCTCAGCTACAACATTATTAACCCTTCTATGC